CGGTCTAGTGTATAGTATAAATGTCTATGAGATAGAGTACGAACGGTGGATATTAGAAAGAGAAAAAACGAGAAACCAAGCGCAAAAACAGTGTAAACAACAAACGGACAATCGAAGGTATCACAATCGAATAAGGATTTCAAAAAATTCCCTAGCCAATTATGTGTGCCTGTATTTCTTGTTGTAAAAATCCTAAGTTGGCAGCCCTGTTATTTTTCGGAGCTTCGCGCTTTTGCTACGAGATGTCTTGAAGAACAATTTGAAGATTTTTAATCTGTCAATCGCATTGATTCTTGGCATTTGTAAACGGATAAATCGATTAATTAATGTTTTTGGTATTATACATTTGAAATTTATTTTACTTCCATAGTTTTTTACAGCACATTACAAGTGGTAAGTACCTTATTCTTTAGAGACAACTATGTTTTAACTGTGTTTTAAATCGTATATTTCTCTAAAATTATAACCTTATTTTTAGTAAAAACAGCTAGTCAAGATGCCAGAAACGGAAGAAGAAATGAGCATGTCAGTTCGCTTGACGAACGATGATTTCCGGAAACTCTTGATGACTCCGAGGGCATCAGTGCCCTCGGCTACTCCAGCTTCTGTGCCAGGTACAACCAGAGATGCCAGCGCAAAAACTGCTCAAACCCCTCAAGTCAGTGGGGGCAGTCGGGCAGAGCTGCGAAGAAAGAAGAAAAGCTTCTACGCGAAACTGAAAAAACAAGAAGAGGATAAGATGGCTGAGCTTGCAGAGAAATACAGAGATCGTGCAAGGGAACGCAGAGATGGGACAAATCAGGATTACCAAGCAGAGGATCCTATGAATAGTGCTAGTGCTTACCGGGCAGTCGCGCCGGATCTGAAATCTGGCATGGATGCTGCCGAACGCAGAAGGCAAATGATCCAGCAATCTAAATTCTTAGGTGGTGATATGGAACATACTCACTTGGTCAAAGGCTTGGATTATGCTCTTCTACAGAAGGTATAATGTCATTATATAGGTAATAGGTTTGATAAACTTTGTATTTTAGTTTTAAGTTTTATTTTAAATTCTATTCAATATTCTTTAGTGAATAATATAATGTCATTATATAGGTACGTAGTGAGATCGAAGCTAAAGAACATGAACAAGAGCAAGAGTTGGAAAAATTGGTAAAGCCAAAGGAGAAGACAAAGAAGGAACAGCCAGAGAAAAAGGATGACGAGATGCAGTTCAAGACAAAGATGGGCCGCAACGTATACAAAATTATTATGACTATGAAATCTAAGCAGATTGAAAGAAACGAGTTATTTACGCCAGGTCGTATGGCGTACGTGATCGAGCTTGATGATGAGAATGCCGATGTCGACATACCGACGACACTAATCAGAAGTAAAGCGGATGTACCAACGATCGACAATACGCCGACTCTCACGACTAACGATATCGTAATCAACAAACTAGCACAAATATTGTCGTACCTACGCCAGGGTAGCCGTCACAGCAAGAAGGGTAAAAAGTTGAAGGACGGACGTAGTCGCGGCGATGAACTGAACGATATAGACATCCAACCGCGACCGCCCGCTGCTGACGAGAGTATCTACGGCGACATCGGCGACTACGTGCCGACGATGACAAGCAAGAAGGATGGTCAGCTACGCGAGAAGAAGAAGGGCTCGTATTTTGATAAACCGGAATCGAATCTGGACACCGATGATAAGGCAAACGCGCCACAATTGCCGAGCACTTTGCAGCAAAACGCAGTGACCGCTGTCGCAGCTGCCATCGCGGACAGCAATGCACCTAAAAAGGGGGCATTGTTAAACAAACTTGCAGCCGAGCCAGAAGGCTATGCCGAATGTTATCCAGGTTTGGACGAGATGCAAGATGCTATCGATGATTCGGACGATGAAGTAGATTACACGAAAATGGATCTAGGTAACAAAAAAGGTCCGATAGGTCGCTGGGATTTTGACACTCCTGAGGAATACAGCGAATACATGAATAACAAGGAGGCATTACCCAAGGCGGCCTTCCAATACGGCGTAAAGATGGCCGATGGCAGACGCACTAGGAAATATAATAAAGAAAAGAACGAGAAAGCGGAACTTGATCGCGAGTGGCAAAAGATTCAGAACATCATGAATAAGCGGAAACCGACGACGGCAATTGATGGCGCATCTGAATTCAAAGTACCGCGGTATTGAGCGATCGATATAATTTTAATTTATCATGGACATCAGAAAAATCTGGAAAACTTAGATCAGCCATCTTGAATAACATATTAGATGCGAAGACAAATTTTTTCATTATTGAATTTTAGAATTATCGTGAGAAAACTTTCAGTATATATATATATATATATATATATATATATATATATATATACATATATGTGTTTTATATTATATTAAACAAAAAAGAAAATCTTGGAATTAATAATTTTAATTTTGCTAATGATTTAATATCGGTCATCGTTAATCCACGTATATGATTTTAACAATTTTGCTTTAAGCATTTAGCAAATCACGTTAACTTTTTAGTTTTTATTTCTTATATCATTTAATAAAAAATACCGTTTCCAAAAATATTATATATTGAAGCAAAGAGAAAGAGGAAAAATATTCTTTATCATTTATAGTATTATCATTTATAGTAATCGATACTTGATTTATTATAATTCTCGATAATTAAAAATTTATAAATTTATTATCGAAATGATAATTTAATAAACATCCAGTTTAATAATCATAACAAAAGTCATAACAAAAAATCGAATGTAAACTTGGTTATGTGTTTTTAGATTTGTAGAATCCGGAGATAATGGGGATGCCGCAAATCTGTGCAGTCAGATCTTGACCCTCGTTTACAGCCGATATCGATATGGAGATATCGTTTACATTATATAAATGTAGCTGCTTTTACCCGGGTTTTCACAGTCCAAGCAAGGAGCCGATCGTTACAAGCAGTTTCACTTGCGAGGTGCAATCAGTAAAGAAAGTGAAGGCGCACACGTGGGCATACATTACATTACAATTGTGATACATTTGCGACCGATGCTGGGCTTCAAGAATCTCATCTGGCGCAATTTTGTCTCGAATACCGTAAGAGAGAAAATCCCAGAAAAGAGAAAGACATGTCATCGTGATCAGAGGACATTTCACAATGACATGTCTATCCAAAAGAGCCAGATTTTTCTGTTAGATTAATTAGTTGACTGTCTATAAAGATATATTTTTATTTCTTCAATCTTAATGCTTTTAGCATATAATTTAACATTAATTTATATAATATAATAGTTCTTAATAATATATCATATATTTTACTTCTTTTGTGTGCACAAAAGGTGTGGTGATGATGGTATTGTGTGCATGTGGTGACATGTCCTACGGATGGTGATTAGGGGACACATTCTTAAATATAATTTTAAAATATTTACAGCTTGCTTAAAAATTGCTCCTAGTGACATACACGTGTCAGACTACATTTTGGCTAGGTATGTAAATTGAGCATGAATTAAAATAATTTTCATTAAAAAAGTATTGAATTTGATGTTAGCTATTTGCTACATAAATCGAGAATATAGACAATGGACTATGCGAGCTAAGTGATATTGCTAGATATATTTTTAACAAATAATTTTTACAAAAACATCCTAAACGTTACAAAACGTCCTAAAGACGTTTTTATAAAAGTTATTATTTGATAAAAATATATAAAATAAAAAATATATCTAGTAGTATAATCTACCTTTGGTTTGTGTAATTCATTATCTACATTCTCGATTTATTTTCATACAGAGCTTTAACTTTTGTTATTACATTTGTTATTACATTTGTAAATGACGTGTATAATATGAGAATCAATGCATATCGTAAGCCCTTCAAAAAGAAACAAAAAACAAACTTTCTTTGAAGATTTAGATTAAATAATGCAAATCAAAAAATAAATTTTATACTTTATTTTCCTTTTATTATTGTTGGCTGATAAACTTTTTTTCCTTCAAGTAAATTTTTATTTCGCGTTTCTTTTTTCGTATCGAAAATTTCATTTAATAAAATTAGATTTTTTTTTTTGAATGATTTAAACATTAATTGAGTAATTTTAAAATAAACTACGCGTATATGCAGACATTGAACTATTTCTAGCAGAATGATAATTAGTTATGTAATAATTGACAATGCATGCAATGTACAGCTGAGTGGTGATGGTTCTCATATGTATATATACAATATTTATTTTACTTAAGAATTTAATATTATTTTCAATAAAAATTCTATTCGAAATTAAAAGTAAGCAAAAATTAATAAAAATTATTTTACAAATGAAAAATGCAGTCGACGATGGCGCAGCTTAAGGTGGCTATAATTGGGCAGAGTCCGTTCGCGGCGGAAGTCTATAAACTTTTGCGTCAGAACGGACATCAAGTTACTGGAGTGTTCACGATTCCGGATAAAGGAAACCGCGAAGATCCTCTAGGTATTAAAAATATTAATTTCTACGAATTTACACACACACACACACACACACACACACACACACACACTGGGGCTATTGATCTTTTCATTTTTTTCAAATCTTTGATTTTGAGAATAGAAAAGAAAACAAAAAACTTCACACGCTTAATAGATAGCCCTACACTTCACATTTCACTTTGTTTACCTTTGTATGCTTTTCATCATAGCAACTACTGCAAAGGCTGACAATACGCCGGTCTTCAAGATCAAGGCTTGGAGAAGCAAGGGAGTAACCTTGCCGGAAATTCTGAAGCTATATAAGGGCATCGAAGTGGATCTCAATGTTCTCCCCTTCTGCAGCCAGTACATTCCCATGGAGGTCATTAATCATCCCCGTCATCGTACTATATGTTATCATCCGTCCTTGCTGCCCAGGCACAGAGGAGCAAGTGCTATAAGCTGGTAAATCATCCTCACTTTGGTAACTTTTTAACATTTTCAAATTTTTCAAAGATCAAAAATGCAAAAATATCTTTATGGATTTGGACTGGAATATTTTAATAAAATCTAATATTAAATATATAATAATTTTAATAAAATCTCGTATCAAAATTAAAAAAAAATGATTATATCAATTTGCGCATTTCTGCGGTTGTAAGAACTGCGGTTAATTCGTTCGTTATTCGTTTATTTTTATGACTTATTCTATTTGAACTAAATCTAAAGCTCACGCTAATCGCGATACGAGTCACTCGATGGCGATATCGTCTCATGATATCGGCACGCCGCAGTAACCGGTTCGCTGCGGTTTTCGCGCTCCAGATTGCGAGGCGAAACTACTTTCTCGCTGAAAACGCACCAACGATAATGAGCGGCCACGAGCTCGCCATATGATCCCTTTGAATGACTGTGCGTATCCGCATGCTGCTGTATATCGCATTTTATTATACTTTTGACCCATGAATCGCCATCTCATTTTCGGCATGTTATCTTCATGTCTTGTAATCTTTCTCACTTATTTGCTTGTTAAGATTGTCTTTCTTTGTTGAATTATAAAAATTAAGTTCTTGAAGTAACAATAATTGTTTTTGCTATTTTTTTTTACTATGTTATGATAATAGAGATTATATTATTAAGTATAAATTGATATATTTATCATATAAATTCAATGTGCGTATATAAATTAATATTTAATTAGTTAGCAAATTTAAAATGTAAGTCAACCATTACTTTGCGTTCCAGGACTTTAATTCAAGGAGATAACACTGCAGGATTCTCAATTTTCTGGGCGGATGATGGTCTAGACACTGGACCAATTCTTCTTCAGAAATCCTGCAAAGTGGAACCGAACGATACGGTAGACAGTCTATACAACAATTTTCTCTATCCGGAAGGTATCAAGGCCATGGGTGAGGCAGTGAACCTCGTTGCCAAAGGAACTGCATCTATGGTACTACAACCGGTAGAAGGCGCGACATACGATCCCTTTCTAAACAAGAAAGAGCTCCAGAAGATTGACTGGACCAAGTCAGCGAAAGAGGTTCATGATTTCATTCGTGGTTTGGATAGTACACCAGGTGCCTGGACGATGCTAGATGGTAAGGAGGTACGTCTTTTTGGATCATCTCTATGGAGCGACAAGCAACCGGAAGTTGAAAAGACGGTGAATCTCGAAGAGCGAAAAGGAATCGTGCATCAAAGCGGTTTATTGATCGAAGCCGCCGATGGGCGATTCGTTAATGTAGAAAGAATCAAGATCGGCACCAAGACCATTCACGCCGGCAAATATGGGCAAAGTAACAACGACAAAGTCGTGGAATTTACGGAAGAGGAGTTGAAGACTACCGATGGTTTGCGCCAAATCTGGACAGATATACTCAGAATTGACATCGATGATGATACAGATTTTTTTGCTTCTGGTAATTTGATAATTTCTTAAAAATTTCACGTTATATTTATGTGATTGAATTGATTAGAGTTTCAATTTTTTTTGTTTTCAACCATAACGAAAATTATAAATATATATTTTTAAAAATTTGTTGTGTTAAAAAATCGAAGATGCATCTAAATTAATTTTGATGTACTATTCACTATTATGTAAATTAAATTATTTTTAAAAATTAACCAAACGCGAATTAATTCTGCGAGATTTTCGTCTCAGGTGGAGGTAGCATGGATGTGGTGCGATTAGTCGAGGAAGTTAAGGATAATTTCGGCGTTAGCCTGCAGAATATTGACGTATTCATGGCACCAATCTTCAAGGAGTTCGCTACGACAGTCATTCTTGCCGCTCGAGGAAACCTAACCACGAAGGAAATCAAATATGATGCAGTGGAAATGCAGGCGAACAATATGACTCTGAGATTTCCCAGACAGCTCTTCATCGACGGTCAGTTTGTTAATGGACACGCTAAGCCCATCGATACAATTAATCCTCACGACGAGAGTGTAATCTGTTCGGTGGAAAGTGCAAATGCCGAAGATGTCGATCGAGCCGTTAAAGCGGCTAAGAAAGCCTTTGAGGAGGGTGAATGGGGCAAAATCAGCGCCAGGGAGCGTGGAGCGTTGTTATTCAAGTAAATAATAACTCCTAATAGTTGTCAAATGAAAATTGATTCCAATTATTTGATGTTTTCTTTTTGTCTTCCAGATTGGCGGATTTGATGGAACAGCACAAGGAAGAATTGGCTACCTTGGAGACTCTCGACTCCGGTGCTGTGTATACCCTCGCCTTGAAAACTCACATAGGCATGTCCATCGAGACTTGGCGTTATTTCGCCGGCTGGTGCGATAAGATTCAAGGTTCGACCATACCCATCTCGCACGCGCGCCCGAATCGGAATCTCACGTTTACACGGCGCGAACCGATCGGCGTCTGCGGCTTAGTCACCCCCTGGAATTATCCGTTGATGATGTTATCGTGGAAAATGGCGGCCTGCCTAGCGGCCGGCAATACCGTGGTGATGAAACCCGCTCAGGCATCACCGTTAACAGCTCTGAAATTTGCCGAGTTGTCTGTGCGCGCCGGAATTCCACCCGGTGTCATCAACATCGTCTGCGGATATGGAAGTATCGTTGGGAATGCTATCGTAGAACACCCGTTAATCAGAAAATTAGGTTTCACTGGATCCACGCAAGTCGGCCAGACTATTATGAGATGTTGCGCTGATAGCAACTTGAAGAAAGTGTCGTTAGAGCTCGGTGGCAAAAGTCCCCTCGTCATTTTTGAAGATGCTGATTTACAGCAGGCAGTCAGAATCGGCATGGGTGGTGTATTTTTCAACAAGGGCGAAAACTGCATCGCCGCCGGTGAGAGACTTTTTTATTTCTTTTATTTTGAAATTGAATATTTTTTATATTTGAAATTGATGATTTTTTAATCACATAGTAGAATTTCACTTCCACTATAATTATATTATCTCTTATTAATTTTTTTCATCCTTAAGGACGGCTTTTCGTCGAGGAGACTATCCATGATGAGTTCGTGAAGCGTGTGGTCAGTGAAGTGAAAAAGATCACTATCGGCAATCCGCTGGACAGAAGTACGGCCCACGGTCCGCAGAATCACAAGGCCCATCTGGATAAACTGCTCCAATTTGTACAGAAGGGAGTTGAGGAGGGTGCCACATTAGTTTATGGCGGCAAGAGATTGAATTGTCCCGGCTGGTATTTTGAACCAACCGTGTTCACAAATGTCGAGGATAACATGTATATCGCCCAGGAGGAATCCTTCGGTCCAGTTATGGTAATCTCTAAGTTTAGCTCGAAGGATATCGATGAGATGATCGCGCGGGCAAACAGCACTGAATTTGGTTTGGCCTCTGGAGTTCTCACTAAGGATATCAGCAGAGCGCTCAGATTTGTGGAGAAGATCGAGGCCGGTACCGTATTCATCAACACATACAACAAGACGGATGTGGCGGCGCCGTTCGGTGGTTTCAAGATGTCCGGATTCGGCAAAGACTTGGGGCAGGAGGCTCTTAACGAATACCTTAAAACAAAGACGGTTACCATTGAGTACTAATAACGATTATTATCCGAGAATTGTAATATATAATACTATTGATGCATGTAACAATGTAATGTACGTCATTGCTTTTCATGCGAAGTGATTATGTCAGTCATGTCGATATTATTTGATATTATTTGATGAATGTCTCTTTAACAATATTGAACAAGTCTTCAATTTACATTTAAAGATAAGGAGTTATTAGAATATATATGTTCGCGCGCCACATTTATTTGTTGCCATTTCACATGTATATCGCCGTATTACATCGATTATTTATACAAATAAACATATAGGTCGTTTCTAATAATTCTTTTTTAGCCTTTATTAATTAAAACTAAATGATTTTCTTTTCATTTATTTAATAAAATGAAACGAAACAAAATTCATTTACGATTCATAAATTCACTATAAATGAACTTCTTTGCTTTATCAATTTTTATATAAAATCTTATAATACATCAATAAGGATTAACTTGAAAATGATTCATACATACTGTCGCAATTGTCGAAAAGGAACGACGTGGGAAAGCATATCTCGAGACAGGACGGATAAGAAGACGAAACGAAATTTTTAAAAGTTAACCAAGGGAGATCGTGGCTCCCACGCGTACGGGGTGTACAAATAGTTTTTACAGCGGATCGCCTTCTATCCCGAGGTTCCAGATGCTGCGTAATTTTTTGTCTCGGAACACACAAGTGTGTCCCATCTCCCGCATGTTACATAGCTCATTTGCGGCTGTTCCTCGCGTCTCGTCTCACTCGACCTCGCTTTTATCCTCTGGTCAGTTGCAAACGGTCACTCATGGTATTTTAAAGACAAAACTGAAAACCACCAGGAAGAAAACGATAAATGATTTTTTGAAAAACTAATATATTTTTAAAAATCAAATTTTGTGAGACTTAGGTCGATGAGAAATCATCTTTATGCTAATTATTTGTTGTATTATATTAGTTTCTATTATTTTCTTTTGCAACTATTTTATTGCAAGCTATTTGAAAAAACGAATAATATTTATTTTTTATATCTATCTGATAAAATAAAATGGAAAGGAAAAGAAAAAAAAAGAAAGAGGAAAAGAAACATTTGCAACAATAGGGGATAAAATAAAGGAAAAAAAATCTATTCATTCTTTAAAATATAAATTTTAAAATGTAAAAAGAGATAAACGAGATAAATTTTTCGGTAATATAAAAACTTCTTAAGACGATCAGAAGTGTAAATGCGTTACTGTATAGTAGTTCTCGGAGGTCATATACTGGATCCACACTGTTTCGCTTTATATGCGAAGTATGGAACGCATTGTACCCCGTATGAGTCATCGGGGAACGGTTTCCATCGGGGAGCGGGTGCAACATCGGCGCGACACGTGTTGCGTGTACCTGAGAGAAGCCTGTGAAAGGGTCTACTGTGAATATTTCCCCTGTGTAGGTGCGCACGGTCAACAACCCGGTCGATGAACAGCTGTTCTTATAAGTATATTTCCGCACCCCTCCCACCCTTTGGCCGTCTTTTCTTTCGTCTCTCTTATTTCTTCACCCCAAAGACCTAGCCACCCTTCGCGTCGACCCCTCCATTTGGCGAGTGAAGGCTCTTTTTATGAAAAGTTTACGATGTCGTTGTAAGTTAGTTTGGAGAACGTTTGAATTTTCCTTGAAATTCTTCGAACACGCGAATATAGAATTTTAATTAGTTTCTTAGTAGAAAATTTATTCGATAAAAGAAAGAAAAATTATATTACAAAAAATTTCAACCTCTATTTTAAATTTTTTAACACAATTTTGTTTAGTATAAATTTAAATTTTGATGGATAAAGAGAATGAAATAGTTTTTCTCTATTTTAAAAAGAAAGACACATGTATAGACATATAAAATTAATTTGTCATTAAGAGTTGGGATTTTTGAAATTAATGTCGCTTTCGAATTTCATTACGTATTCGAAGTATGAATTTTATAAACGAGCTCGCGAGCAAAGGGTTCTAGAGTGATTGGACCCAATGCTTTGGGCCTAATTTCTACTACGCGCGGGGGCCTAATTCGAAAGTGTGCACGACCGGCACGGCCTGGTCTCGCCCGGAATTATTCATCGTAGACAGGAAATGCAAATCCCATCGTGTCCCCTCGTGTTACAGGACAGTGCTCTTTGACCTTACCTCGATCCCTTCTACAAGCAAGAGTTCTCGTCTTTATAAAAATTTTCAACTATTTTCATTTCGAAAAATTTCGTACATAATACTGTAGTATAAATATTGTAGTGCAAAACAACATAAATAATAATGCGTATATATTGTATTTAAGAAAATTCCACGTTTTATAATATGCTAAACGCGACAAATAATAATGATAAATGTAAAAAAAAAAATTAGTCAATATTCGCTCTTTCTCAATTTCAACATATTTTATCTTGAAATTTTGAGGATCGCTGTATGTGGAGCCCATATACCCCATGTTGGCGATTCACAGAGTTGAAAGAAGATCTCGCGGGGTCTCTTGCGCAAGAGGGCCCAAAAAGATTTCTGGGGCTGTACCCACAGGCATTGGTGCACGTGTGCGTCCGTTCTCTCTCTCTCTCTCTCTCTTTTCTCTTTCTCACACCCCTCGATGGTTTCCCTTTCCGCTCGCGCGCGCTCCGCTTATGCGGATTCCGCTCGCAATCAGTCGCCCTCGGGATACCGTGTGTGATGGGTGTTCGTGCGCAACATTCGCGTTGTCGTGCCGTTGCAAACGAATGAGAAGTATCGCGATATGTAACATGTTGTTATCACAGTTGGAAAGGAAAAAAACGCGCGACCGCAATTTCCCGCGAGTATCCGCCGATATCTCGCCGGGCGGAAACGAGTATCATCCTCTCGCGGGACGCATACGCTCTACACTGGATGGCTGCATGTATGAGCCTGTTAATATCAGACAAGCCTTTAACGAGACTGAGCCCGAAACGATATTACAAGCATCCGATAATTCACTCTCCAATTATATCGTAATGCGGCTTTTTGATGCGATTGAAAATATACGCAAATCGTACATTCATTTTTATATTTTATTCTTTTCTTCACTTTCGTGACTTCTAATGATATAGTATAGATTTATATCATATACTTTTAACGCGAAGCGCAACTCTGAATTTTATTTTTGAAAGGGAACAGAAGACTCTCAAATCAAAAGTATTGCGCGCATGATCGCCGCGCGGTACGAATGCAGATTATGAAGCGGAGGAACGCGTTTTATCGGGCAACGTTTGCGTAAACGAGCATTAAAAAAACCTGACCTCAAAGCAGCGGTCGTGTCATCGAGACTCACGCCGATTCGGCGAGGAAAATAAACTGAATATACTGAAACGCGCGGGTGATGAGTCATTTCAACAATGCGCTCTGACCACGGTCTCCTCTCTCACTCCATGCTCCGAATGTCTGACCCTTATCGCTCTAATCAGAAATTATAATGGTAAATTCGACGTCATGAAGAGAGCTTCGACTTATGCGGAACACTCCAGAAACTCGATTTTTAACGATTAATTTTAACTCGCTCAATTTTTTTCCTACAACGAATTTCATTTATCGCAATTTCTTAACATCCGTCGTTGAACATCCGTCTCTATATATAAAGTCACAATTCTGACAACGCAGCATCTACTTGAATTCATTCACATTCATCTAATTTGAAATAAAAAACTTAACAGAAAGATGGGAAATATTTTTACAGATTTTTAATAAACGCATGGATAAAATATACTATTTTACCTAATTCAGATCGCACTTTGCTGACACGAAACACACGTGGGACAGATGCGCGCGATTTCTAGAGAACGTCTCGCTGTATTTATCGCCTAGGGAGAACCTCGGCTCGTTCAATAGAGACCAATGGGTGGAAGAGCATACAAAAAAATAGACGTTGTAGGTCAAAGGTTGGATAATGAATCGGATGAAATCTGCTGCGACCGTTGAAAGCTGATCGGTGAAATATTCCGGTCTCGATATCTCCCTAAAATTTTTCAGTTTGTTCAATTGGATAATAATATTTTAGGCTAAGCTGTCAAAATATAATTAATTCTTCTTACAAACATTTTTTTGTTAAAGAGACAATAATTTTAAAACTTGTGGACGTAGTTGAACGTGTGTTTAGAAAAAATAAATACTACATCGGAGCTATATATTTTAAGAAGTATTTGTATATTTTAATATTTTTTTTTTACGATTATCATACGAAGGAAAGAACATAGTCGCTTTTCAGGATAAACTCACATATCTTGGTCTATCCGCCCCTTTCCTGTTTCCTTTACGCGAGCTTGCCAGTTAATCTCTAGGCCGCAGCATCCTGTGGGTGGAATCGTCGCTTTATAAAGTTCCCCGATCAAACTTGGAAATCATCAGTCTGAAAGTGCGTTTTCCGCCGCTCGCAACTCGCTCGTTTGTTTGAATATGTGCTTCCGTGACTTTGTTGTAACAGCCTTGGATAATGTTAATTAAAGTGCGTCTCACGTAATATAAAACGTGAAAACGTTTCTGAAAACTTTTCTTGAAGAGTGCGGAACATTTTTTATAAAAAGCAGATAAACTTTATAACGTATTATTATTATTCAAGCTCTCTTGTGTGATAATCTTTAAAATAAGTTAGATCTATGAGAAAGAAACGTATAATTTATCTTTAAATTAATTATCTCGTAATTAATATTGAATCAAATAAATTAAAAATGTGATAACATCGTCAGAATGTATTTATAATTCTAATATTATAATTCAATTTATTATGCAAAATAGTGTATTGACAGTTAGATAGATATTACCGAACGATTACGCTGCGGCTCGTCATCGGGCACTTTGCTTTTCTTTTATGCAAGCTGCCTTTTGAAGGGCAACACTGTGATCGGTCATATTCAACGATGGAACTATCCGAAACGTATATCATCAGAAACTTAAATATTTTCGTGGAAACATTTTTAAACGTGTCACATATCGAAAGAACTTGACAATTGTCTTTTTTGTCTTCACTTTTCTTATGAGATATGACATGAACTTGATTTTTCAATGAATCAATATCAGATCAAATGAGTGATTTGTATTGTGTAATATCCGATGGCATTATGAATTAATAAAATACACAATTTTTTTTGGTAATCATATCAACACTCCTGCAATCTTCCTTTCAGAAATATGAATTTATATTGTAATCACATCTTCAATTAAGTCAATATTATATTTCTACGGTAAATTCCGTAAAATGTCGCCGTAAGAAATCCTCTTTGCAGCGGATAGTAATTTATTAAGTTTTTTGGTACACATCCACACATTGGTATGAGACATCACAATTTATGTACAAGTGTAGTTAGTAATTCTATTTCTCATTAATATTACGTTGATATTTATTACGATCTTTTTTTTATGCACGAACTTATACATTTGTGGTAATGTATGTGTGTGTGTGTTGCTTCAAATTTACAATGCATATTTATTATGTCATTTGCAATTCAGCTGTATTTTTACGAATCTTTTTTCAATTCTAAATGAAATATATCGCCTTGTTTAGTTCTTGTTAAAATAACGATTATTTTCAATAATTACATAAGTCGCGATGATTTATACATACATTACAAAATGATAGCTATATTAATGTGATAAATAAATTATACTACCTAGCCTTCCGATTCGTATAATTGTACATTACCTAACTTTAAATAACGATAATGCTATAATAATAGAATAAAATTAATAATAATAGAGATATAATAATTACGTTCAGGTAACTTTAAGAACATTATTAATAATATCTAATATAAAAGCAACAGTGTGATTTAATTAAACAATTTGTTTATGAGAATGAGTGGTTAAGTTATAAGTTCTACACATTGTTCTATAAAACGTAACGTTAACTTAATGTTCCATCAGCGGAGCGATTGATTCTACTTTTACTTCTTTATTGCTTCAGATTTTATCTCCGTTGCACTTGAACGTAGCGTAAAATACAATCCTTTTTTTTTTCATCTCTCTAAGATGACCGACTATATCTCCCATTTATTCTCCTTTGTACAAATCACAGATTTTTTTTTTAATAGACAATTGGCGCGCTGTATTCTTGAAACCTGTCGTGCAGGTTTGGAACAAATACAGCTCGTTATTCTTCCCTTTTTTCTTTTTTATTTAAAAATATGACACGCGACTCTGACATTTCTTGCTTAAAATCTGTCGCCTATAAAAAGTCAGTCTCATCGTCTATAAGGTCGCGATAGTGTCTTAATCTCTCTACACATCTTATATTATACACCACTGGCGGCGAGGATAATGGGTGGTGATCAATTGTTTAAAATCGAGATTCACCGACGCTAAGTTTCCTATGATAATCAAAAGATCTTAAGTACACGCGACATAAAAAATTTTGATATCGACTCTCTACGGGAGCATATCTTTCGCGTATATATAAAAAATATTAATAGAAATTATATTAATTAATAGAAACTTGAGATATTTGCTTAACGATCAATTAACAAAAGCTAAATATATAGTTGCTAGTATAGTATTTATTCCAAGTAGTTTACGGCTTTACATAAATATTTTTTTATGTATTAAGATATTTTTCTCACTCACACTCTCTTTCTCTCTTTCTTCAGCAACAACACATTTACGAATCTCGTAAAACGCCACCGAAGCGTCAGATGAAATTAAATACACCGTGCGATGTGTGCCGAAAGTGTCAGCAGGACTGTGGAAGAATACGCGATCTCGTCCTAATACTGCTCTCAAATATTAAAATAAATTACATTCACCCTGTTCTTCCGCGCGGCACGTGCTTAAAATTCTCTTAATCTAAATTAACTAATTAAACGGCACACATTCGGATCGCGTATTCTCGGCCTCGTGACGAACTAGAACGATTTGGAATTCGATCATAGATCGTAACTGTAAATATGTCTTTTCGGAAGATCCAATACCTATATGTAAGCGACTATTAATAGAAATATAAATCTAAGAATATAAAAAAAAAAAATAATCTTTTAATCATGGAATAAGAATGAAACTTTAAAAATAAATGTTATACATTTTTTATGTCATTTAATGTACTAAATCTCATTATTATTAAAATAATATTTTTATATCTTAATTTTGATGCGTGTATATCTTCTTTAACATGACAAACTTTTATATACGGAGTGTCCCAAAACTAACGGTAAATATTTTAATGATAGATACCTTGTAAGATTTTAAGACAAAAATTCTACGGCATTTTAAAATCTTACAATGTATCTATCGTTAAATTATTTATCAGTTTTGAGACACCCTGTGTATAAAATTGAATATATATGATTCGTTCGCAGGTATTGGATTTTCTACGAAAGAATCTTTTATCACGACAAGCGTCCTATCTGATAAAAGAAAAAAAAAAAGAAAAAAAAGAAAGAAAAAAAAATATATTTCACAAATGTACAAATTTTCGTTACAGGATATCATTGATATCCAACGTCGCATCGAATAGGATACGTCTTTAAACGTCTCCTATGCAAGACTTTCCTCCCCCCAAATTCAACCTATAATAAAACTCTATCTTACGATTAAATGTTCCGTAAAGTTTCAAGAATTAGAATAGATTCATTAAAAAAGAAAATTTATAACACATAGAATTCTTATCTTTTTTTTTCTTTTGCACAATGCGGCCCCTGTGATGTGACTTGGGGAAATTATTGTTAAACTTTATATCGTATTGCATAATAATATAAGCCGAACACCGACGAATTGGAACGAATGTTTGAGCGATCGTGAAGCTAGAGCAACAAATAATTTAATAAACTAGGATATTACAAAAACTGATCGAGTTTTATATTCTAAATTAAAATTGATTGATTCCTACTGGTGCTTATCGCATTTCATTCAATTTTATTTGTGAACAATGTCAATATGTGTAATTCGCAATAAATATACACTATATTATAAATACAAACGTGTAGTTATAAAAATAAAGCTACAATTGTTTTTATTGTTAGACAACAAGATATAAATTTATCTTACGAGCTTCATGATCGCACAAGGTAGAAAACAATTGGAATAAAATCGGGCAGATAATCGAAATTGAATAGCAATATTCGCAACGTATGCAATGGATAAAATGAATAGAAGAATGCACAGCATTTCAAGTCTAATGAAGTTTTAACTATTCAGTTTAGCTATCGCAAGATGATATATCTTGAAGAAGCAGCTCGATCGTAATATCAATATCAATAAAATTGTTATTAATGATAAAATATGCTCATTCTCCAGCATAATCCTTAAAATAGCAAACAGCGTTCTCCGCTGTAACATGCATCAACAAATGATAAAATAGTCTTTTAAATGTAAGCCTAACACTTGTCATTTTTTTCAATGTTAATAAAACTCTCATTGACACTGACATTGGATCTTGAGCCATCTTCTCGTGCGTGCCTGTAAATAGCAATCCGGTTTAACTAATCTAGCCCGATTTTATCCGATCTACCTCCAGCTCTCGGCTATGCTATGAGCTCTCGGCTATGCTAATTCCGCGAGTTTTATTTTAAACAAATCTCGAGAAACAGGCCAATGACCAAAGTCGTAGCGGATGTAACCTTCAGCCAATGACCAAAGTCGTAGCGGATGTAATCATGTCGCCGTCGCCGTCGCCGTCGCCGTCGCCGTCGCCGTCGCCGTCGTCGTTATCGTCATCGTCATTGTCGTCGTCGTCGTCGTTATGTCGCGATGGTCACCAAAAGTGTGACTGCACGTATCCGCCGCCACCGCCGCCGCCGCCCCCCATGCCGATCGGATTGAAGCGATGCGGGTGTATCTTCTCCATCCGCATGGCACCCGGACCGCCGCCGCCACCGCCGCTCCCGCCTAGGAAGCCGCCACTGTGAGGCCCGCCACCCCGCGGTCCGAAACCACCCGCTCGGCCCAACATCCCCGGACCACTGCCGATGCCCATCCCCATCCCAGGCGGGCCCCCAACACCCCTGGCCCGTCCGCTGCCGCCTCCACCAACCCCGAGTCCGCTCGTCCCTGGAAAATTGAGGATATCTGAGATGAAAGCGAGCGGTTAAGCCATTTCCAGAAAGCGTGTCTCGGTATCAACGCTCCTCCCTCACTCCTTTTTTTTACGCAATTCCTCATTTTAAATAAAATATAGGTTTGTTTTATTTTAAAAATTCTTTCCAGATCAGATCATTAATTCTTAAATCAGCTGAAAAACTTAAATTTAATTTTTTAATGTCACTGTTTAATCTCTTTATATATAATTTCACCATCTTTGGATAAAATAAATTTATTAGGTTATATCATCTAAAATATCTTTAAATTTTCGATAGTGCATTCGTGGATGTGCAAGATTTAAAGTAAATGTAAATTTGTTTCTATATATATCTTTTCTCGATATTATTTCTGACAACTGGTACATTTCTTCTTCGAGATGTGTGTTCATTTATATTTTTATTTTTGATTTTTAATTTTTTGGGAAATGTTAAACGAAGGAGGAGCGTATTTTGGAGAAAGAGGGTCGCACGAATGACTTAGACTTGGTATACATTTCTAGTGTTTTAATCAAATTTAATGAACGACCGCGGCGAGGAAACTCGCGGTTGCAGCAACGAGAATAGGAAAGATATAAGATATCAATTAGAAGATCTCCGGAGGATCATGAACGATGCGTTTCATTTTCTTTTTTCTATTTTTGAAATATCAATCCTCCAGAGTGTACTTTTTGTCCTGATGATTTTCTTTTTCGCGAAGAAAAATTCGTCGTACTTGCAACTCGTCCGATTGTCAAGAGAGTATAAAAAATTCCGCCGAGATCGGGGAAAGGCGAAAAAAGACATTTTTGCGAGGCGCGCTTGCACAATCTGATTTTCAATTTACTTAATTTTAATTAGCGTAATCCCCGCGGGAAACGAATTTGTACAAAAATATCACAGAGGGCCATTATTTCTGTGTGTGTGTGTGTGTGTGTGTGTGTGTGTGTGTGTGTGTGTGTGTGTGTGTCGCGTGTATGATATAATTTATTTTTCTCTTTCGCAAAATTGGATTCGTTGAGTGTCTGCAGCGTGCTTAAATTCGATTTAACATCGCGCGAGGATTCCATCAATTATACATCATCAGCACAAAAAGCGGCGATCGATAATTACAATAATTCACATTTAATGCTCAATACGTTTAAATACAAATACAGATTCGTACAACGAGAACAATGATCTGTAACTGTAACTATATCCGTAACTGAGAATGCCTGTCTTGTATGTTTCTAGTGTTTAAAACGCATCGTTGGTCTTTAAGTATTTATGTATTTGTAGCTATCATAGTTTTGCGTGGTTCTATCTATTATGTATGTGTGTTTAATTTAATCGCTGTGTGTACGTGTGTCGCATTGTTGTAAACATTGATGTTAACGAGACATTTTATATTCGTCTAACGACGATAACTCTCGCTTATTCAGAGATTTGCGTAGACTATACATGTACTTTTATGCCACAACGAACAAGAGAAAAATACGATGAATATATCATCGAGAATGTCGCGAGTGTTCTTAAACGAGGCCGAAGAAGCCGAATTTCTCCTCTCTAAAATTTTAGAGTGTTCACAATCTGTCACATTTTTCTTTGGCTAAAAGTAATTTGCATTTAAGAAATGATCAATTAGAAACTAATGATGGATGTTATTCGATATTAAACAATTAAAGTTTATAATAAAATTGTTCATGTGTACACAAAATTATACATTTACATTATAATTTAATGTTTAATGATAAAATGTTTAAGACTTTTGAAGAATTTTAAATATAGTAATATAGTAAATTATCGAAATATTTAATATTAAAAATTAAAAAGTTTACAGATTGTTAGAATCTATGAGAAAATTCCTAACGAATTTGTTACCTTGTAGATAAATACGACAATTTTGTAAACACTCTGCATATTGCGTTCACTAACTTAGCTAATCACCGTGCATCGACTAAGATAAAACGCTACGAAGAAGCTTCAATGTATTAATTCGTTGTTAGTTTTTCAATATAATCATATCAGCATTATACATGGTTGATACATCGAAATTAACGTATATATATTGATTGAAATTAATTTATATATACTAAAAATCAAATTGAAAGAGAGGAAGAGAAGCTTCGCTAATGCTCCGCTTGTTTCGTCGGTATATTTTTTTTGCAATTCTCGTTAGTATTTTCTTATCCTTATCACAGCCATCGTTAGCACTACTGGACTTCGGGATTAATCATTTCGCACATTCTTCGATCCGTTAAACCTTACAATATTTACTACTTAACAGTTTAAAGTTAAATCTATTTACACTTGCATCTTTCAATTATGACGCCAAGTCGAGTTCGCATTTCGGACATTCAATTGCAAATTTATATAAACGAAAAAGAAAATAAAAATAATATACTACAAGTTTACACATCACATTCACAAATTAAAGACATTTTAATAGTTGATTAATAAATTCTCACATTTGGAATTAAGTAATTATCTGAAAATATTTTGGTATTTAATTTCCATCTTTTTTAATTAAATTAACTAAATAATATCATGATAACTTTTGTTTTAGCAGAATAACACATAATTAATTTCGATGTTGATTTATCGATATAGATTATTTGCGATTAGAAAAACCAAGAAGCGATAGAAGTTTCTCTCGTGGCGTAAATAGTATGGGAAGATGCCTTATATTATAGTTTGTCTACCTTACTAATGAACTTTTCAACGTTTAATCAATTTTCTTCTCAATCATCTAGCAGCGATTGTGCTATGCATATATATGCATTCATTAATCAATCGATCGTCCAAAGATGTTTAACATTTTTTTACACAAATCTTTCAGTCTTAAAGATAAAATTAATGATTTGCGATTACTTAAATGTAAAGTGTTTGAATACAAGAAGAGAAAAATTGTCAACATATGTCAAGTTTCGCCAAAAGTAAAATAAATAAATTTTATAAGAGTACTAAAGAAAAATAAAAAAGTCACAGCTTTCAAATACCTTCACCATAGTCAGTGTTATATAATAAACTATCTATCTGCGGCGAACGCGTATTGGCGTTTAAAAATATAGTCATCGGCTCGCAGCTCCCGGACGATCGATCGGTCAGTAACCGAAGCGGGTCAAACGCCGGCGCAATCGCAATATTAAATTCCTAAAAGTTCCGACATCGTCAAGTTCCCTTATGCGAAGCAGCGCCTATAAGTATTTTACGTTGAGCAAGGTGGATCGTGTCCTCGATCGCGTTACACGATTGGAGTTCAATCCCTAACTGGTAACGTCATCAGCGGCCTTCAGGTTCATACATTCTTCTATATTGATTACCTAATTAGCATATTCCTCAGATATACCTCAATTGAGATTTGAGAAACCTTTATGTAATCGTACTAGTTTCCTCATATTTTTCTAAGAAAGAAAAAAAAAAAAAAAAAAAAAAAATAAATAAAGCTGCGCAATTATTATATAATTATAATGCATCATTAAATACCCGCGCCGCATCGAATGCGCCAGTTAGGGATGAGAATAAATTTCCCTCTCACAAACGCAATCTATGACAAAACAGAAGAAAATGGTGTACGATTGGACATGCACATGATTTCTTGCTCGCGTAATAAAATTGTAAATATAAAACATCGAAAATAGCAATGTAAATTGCTATAACTTTTGTTATCATCAATACCACAGTTGTAATGAGGCAGTTTTAATTACAGCTATTAAGTTAAATAGTTTAAACTGTGCAACACACGGGACATTGTAACAACGATAACACAAAGTTTCTACTTTACGTATATGTAATGATAAAAAAAATTATCGCATTCTATTTTCTTCTGTCGCACAGAAACGGCGAGGTGCGGATATATCCACATAGGATGGACGATTGTCAGAGTCAAAGGACATACATGTTACTTTTAGCTCTCAGGATCCACCTCTTTTCGGCTTTCTCGCTGCCGGGTCGATCGTTTAAAGCGTCATTCAAGATTCAAAGGGAGACGAGAGAGTCTAACAGTGAGAATCGTTAGAGTCCGCGATACGATGTAATATTCTATCCTACGATAATCGAGCAATACCTCGTCTATGTCTCAACAATGTATACCGTTAATTAGCTAATTACTGATACCGCCAAATGTATTCGGTGACGTGGCTTTTTACAACGCATCGCAGGCCGATACGATCAAACGGAAGGCCTTGTGTTCTGCCTATTGATATATCCGTTTGCATCCGACGGCTGATATATCGAAACCGATAGTACGTGCATTCCAAGTATCATAAAAGTCGATCTAGCTTTAATTTGTATCTCTTTAATGATTTCTGATTTAAAATCTTTTCGAGACATTCCTTATTTTCGTTTCTTATACGATCGAGATAATTCAATCATCTCAATTTCTAAGTTTCTACCATTAGAGGTTATCGAGATAAAACATGTAAGAAAATTGTCTTTGGGAAAGAATAGTTTTGAAAATTTTATACAGCTATATTTCTTTTTGTAAATCTGTTTCTATATTTTTTCTACATTTAAAAATATGCATTTTCAGAACGCAAGATTCAATATTCTTAAATGGTATACAGCTAAATCGACTGTGATACTTGAATGTGATACATGAATTTACTCATTTCACATTTTTCATTCGAGATTGCCACCGAGAACATAGTCGGATACATCCTCAGTTTACGGAAGCATGCGTACGTGATATCTTCTCCTGGCTACCGAGTAAATTTTAGAAAGATATCGACCTACTAGGAGAAACAATGTTTATTCATTTGATCTGCAGATTTTACTAAAGAGCGTGACGGCCATACGTACTACAAGATTTGCCGTGCGATAAATATCATTTTTCGTATATCGAGAATTAATACTATCCATGTAACGGATAATTAAGAAGTTTGTTTTCCGATTTCATTATTCTCTAGATCGTTGAGATCAATCTCGTTAAATTGATCATTCTCATATATTACCGCATAACATCTCACGAAGAATCGTTATATCTAATCTAAAAAGATATCTCAAAAGAAACATTAAAATCTATTAAAATTACGCGTTAATTATATCGATCTTCACAGATATATGACGATTCTATCATGGTGTTTAGAATAACAAAAGATGTATAGACTTAAAAATCACAAAACAGACTTATATACACTGTAAGACTCTTAGACTTGAATAATTGCGATTATTTTATGAACGTTGAGCAAAATCATATTGCGATATTTGGTGTATGGTAACCCTCGATGGTACCAACGCTACCCGAGTTATATCTCCGAGGATTTTTACGAAATTTTATATTCAACAGAAACGCATCTTTCTTCGCAAATTTCTCGCCGAGATCATGAAAGGCCAAAATTTAATTTGAAAATTATTTTAGAAAACTTTACACGCTGGCACGCTTTTTTAAAACAGTATAATGTTTCGTCCATTAATATAAGACCAATTGAATCCTTTCGAAATAAGAATAATTGTTACAATTTTTACTCCATTTCTGTCTCATAAATATCAATTCACATATCACACTTCCGTTGAAATATATCGCAGTGTTCCATGATATTTTCAACGCTAACTTAAACACTAAAATTGAGATTCAATTCGAACATTACTGTCCTGATTGTACACAAGCAAAACGCTACGTCGAATCAATGCAATTTATATATGGTTAACAAACGATTCGGCGAGCGCAATTTATACGATTAACAATCAATTTGCTATCTAAGATCTTTCGGGAACCACCGAGCACAGCAAACGTTCCTCGCATGATTACAAATCACATCGGTGGAACACATTGCGGGTATACACGGCCGTAATCCTGATTCTGCGAATTAAATTCGCGAATCTTTGTTAGATTACAACTACAAGGACGGCCGCGTGTGCGTATATACATAACATTCGGAACGTTCAACTGCACCGGCGGCGACAACAATACGCTTCTCGCCATTTTAATACAGATAATGAGCATAACGCTGATATTTATTCCTCGTTGGGTATAGACGTTCTCCTTCACGAGTCAAGAGGCATGCATAGAAATGAAAACGTCATTGATTAGGTCTTTTACATAAGTTTCACTTTTACGCGTATCGTGTTACAACGGCTCGATAAGGACACAGCATCATGCACTTGAATTTTTTACTAAAGCATAAAATCGCAATCACAGCCAAATCGCTAGAGATAAATCACGCATATTTTTGTTCGCGAGCGAGCTTTCATATCCTCTTGATTTACGAATTAATATTTAAACGAAGAACCAATCGAAAAATTAATAAAACTTAAAACATCCATCTCTTAAGAAAGAACATTGATTGATTCCATTTTCCTTCAAACATAATAATCAAACGCTTAATAATACATAATTTACAAATTACCTAACTCATTCTGTATTCGCTTAAAATTAATAGGATTGGAATAGAATTACTAATGGAAGACAGAACATACACATGTTTGGAAAACAAATATGT